CTAAAGAAATCTATCGTGTACTAGAAATCTACTACCAGCATCGTCTACTTGGACTGAAGCAGTAGACTGTAGCACGTGTTGGTATGATTTTTCTCGACTTCTCAAGTGGGTACGACCGGTTAGAACATAACATTATGCTCTGTAAACTTCAGCCCCTTAATGTTAGTGATCCTCTCCTAGGATGGATCAGAAGCTTTCTTATACACCGGCGCCTGGAAGTACGTTTTCGTGATTCACTGTCAGATCCCACCCGAGTCGAATGCGGAGCACCACAAAGGTCGGTACTTGGACATTGACTATTGTTGACGTGTCTTAAAGACATCACACGCTCCATAATCTCGAACTTCCTACTTTGTGCTGATGGCATCAAGGTGTGGAGGGCGATCACTACACCAGATGATATCGCAGCATTTCAAGCAGATCTGGATAGGGTCCGTGCGTGGTCAATATACACTCGGCTTCGATTCCCTGTGGACGTAGGTAGAGTGCTACACATACGGAACCAGGTGACGTACTCCTACGAACTCTGAAACCAAGAGTTTCAGATATCTTCTGACGAATAGGATCTGGGAATTGTCGTCCAGGCCGACCTTGGGTTTTCGCATCAGGCTGAAATCGCGTCAAGTTAGGGCATCCAACATGTGGGTCACCTGAAGAGTGCACTTGGACGATTCGACTCATCACATTTTACACCGTTTCATAGCTCATACCTACGTCCATATGTGGACTACACAATACTGGTCTCTCAGCCATGACTGAGGAGAGGTCTCACTGTCTTGGAGATACCCCAGTGCTGAGCAACCATGAATATCAACGAGCTGTATACTTTGCCGTATAATTTAAGGCTTCAATTGCTCGGGGCCCTCAGAGGACAAAACCAGCGATTGTGCGGGAACCTAATTTTGACCAGATTTTGACAGGTCGCAACCATACGTGCCGCCATTTGCTAGAGCTTCCGCAATAGCAATTTGAGAGGCCAACAACTCATGCTGGCAGAGCAGTACAGTCATTTGTAATGCCGTCGGAATTTCTTTTCCGTACGCGCTTGTAGAACGTGGAATGTCCTACTGGAGCCTGTCATATGTGCTCTCACGCTGGCAGAGTTCAAAGCCCGAGTTGATCGTGCGCTCATTTCGCTGCACCATCTCACCTGACTACCAGCGAATGAACGCAAGGGTCCGGTCAAATCCCAAAATACCTTTCCTCTTTTTTACCTTCCTTATATGTCCACCAGAATACGACGCGATTTGTTGCCAACCTCTTATTTGTCTCCATTCCTTATGGATTACACTGGATTTACAGTTTATACTACATACACTACAGTGAGTCCACCGGTGTAAACCTAATTTAGATGACAATTCCTCTGTGTTCTAAACTTTCTTCATGACGACCCTACACCACCATTTTAGCTTTAGCTTTTATACCCGTATGAAACCATTGTTCTGTAGTAAGTGCTTAATCTTCAGCTGCAAGCCAAGCTGTATGTGTGAATACCGCTCTCTGTTAGTGGCTAATATCGATAATTCCCCTACCCGTCACAAACCCGAAGTGAAGATGTTTTATATTTTTAGCGGATGTCATAGAATACACCGTTTGTTCCCTGTGCTGATGATTTTAATTGATTTGACACCGTATTTCTCACCTGTCTTGGGTTACAGAACATGGTAAACTGCGTCACCAGATCCTATGTAACCTTGGACCTAGTATTCGTTAACAGCAAAGCTGTTCGCTTTGTTTAATAGAGAGCCGTTTAGTAGTGCTGATAACGGTTTTATCCTGTTGTCTACTCTAAGATGAACTGTAAGTAGGATACGCGTTGCAACGTTCGCAACTTCAGGTGGAGGCACCGTTTCGCACAGAATATGGACTTGCTATGAAAGATGGTATCATCCGCCGACATCATTTTCTTTTTTAACACTGGTGCATCCACGCGGTCAAAAGGGCCAACAGCGCTGTTTTGGAACATTTAGTCCAGAGAGGGCACCAAGTCGTGACGACAGAGGCTTTTAAAATTTTATACGTTGTGCCGAAACATTATCCAAAAGGAGTACAAAGGCGCCTACTCATGACAGTCGAGGCTATTTCTATCCGGCTGATGCAACCAGAATTATGCAAGCAGAGATTGGTAGTTCAAAAGCTCCATTTACCCTGGCCATACTTTTATTGTGACTCGCCTTTCTCCTCGACCTCCGTAAGTGACCTTTTCACCCCATCGGACAGCTGAAGCGTGGTGTGTTGTATTGTGAACATGTATTGTCAACATGTGTGTATACGTGTGAGGTTAGCTCTTATACTCAATTGCAAAGGATCGAATACTAAAGCAACCTGTTTGGACTTGACCAACCCTAGACTTGCCGTTTTAGCCTATCACCAATTTAATCAGTTGTACATATGTATTAGCCTGATGAGAAATATCGAAACGGAATTTATTCGCTGAGCTGTGTCTTGCTATCTCTATGGGCATATTTCACGAACTGCTGTATCCGCAGTTTCCTATCAGTTGGCAAGCAAACTGAGCATTTTGTGACATCTGCTATTCCTGTGAAGCCCCTTTCATTCGTTCCAACAGGTTTTATTCCATTCACTTGAAGCAGTTGTGCAGACTAAAGGAGAACGCTCACAAGAAAAAGTGGCGCAATAGAGTCACTTTGTCCTTATTTAATAAGAGTTGCGTCATCACAACAAGATGTACGTTCAAGTTATATTTGGGAATACTAGCTGCCGTGAACTGAAGGATGTTAAGACATTTAGGCGGGTTTATTCAACGTACATCAACCTCTGACGTAGATATGGAAAAACTGAACGATGACTTATGCAACCACTACAATAATCAAAGCCTAGACCATTTAGTTACCTCGCTTAAATCGTCTGCCGGTACTTGGCTCCTTTTAGACAGTGAAACTGTACACAGAGTGCTGAAACAGCTATACTAAGGCCAGTGGTCTGAAGAAGCTGTCTACACTTTTCTTCAAGGAATGTGTTGACTTATTGGTCAAACCTCTACTTCATTTATACACACACTTTGCATTCAGCAATATAAATTTGCTGACCGCTGGAGAAGCGCTAGTATGACATCACTACCAAGAAATGGACGAAGCAGATATCGACCAATCGCTTGGAGCTCAGTAGGCCTAAAGCTACTCGAAACATTGATTCTTGAGCATCTGTTGATACAGAAGCAGCCAAATGAATCTCCTCCATTTTCCTACTGCATTTCGACGTCAGCTCAAGTCTCGATGGCCTGCTTTTTGCTTTTGCTTCTGTTATTGCTGGGCAATAGTGTTAAATCCATCCGAATCTGTTTTCCGTACTACAGTAACGCATTCGGCTGCGTAAACCGTGAGTTGCTGTTAAAATATCTACTCGATGCTGGGATGCATCTGTCCATCGTTGTTTTGCTAGGGGAATAATTTGCCGGCAGTACATATGTTACCCGATCTGGAGGCTGCTCTCACCTAATCACAAAAACCGGTGTTCTTCAGGGAGCAATTTTGTCTTCATTTCGATTTTTCCGCTCGTTACCAGTCCCTTGGGAGACAACTCTACCGAAGTATGCAGATGACAATGTCTTGGGCATCAACCATTCTACCACTGCTTCTTCAATCAGATAACAAGATATTTTTTACCAACGTTTGCGAGCTGTCGTTTATGGTCTAAAAGAGCAATGATGTCGCTTTTCACTGCATCGAGCAGTTCGGTACCAAAAGCCTCCCTAGCAGCTTCCAAAACCACATCAACGCCTAAGGGCTGCACTCCTTCACGTCATTGCGGTGCTTGGCACTCAGGCTTATCTACCAATTAGCTTCGTTGCATTATATCATAAGAAGCCAAGTTGCGAAGGGTTATATATTGTGGCAAATATCAGCAGCAACTATGTGCATCAGCTCTGGTCAAAGTTCCACCAGTCTGCGAACTCTTTCCTGAATGCAGCAAGCCACACGCCGCTACTGTATCCATTCTCGCTGCACATATATCTGAGGCATTTAAGCATTATTCTTCCGCAAGCACGTTAGTATGATCCGCTGTTTGCTCATTATTAAGATAGTTTTCTTGGTACTTCTGTACTACTGATTATTGGCGCAGTAGTCTAAGCTTTTGGCTCAGCAAAATATGAATAAAATGTTCACATAAGCAGATTATCGCTCTGTATTCATTCTGTTTCTTATGATTTGATAATTCGTTATCACTACCTGCATTCCTTCACACTAGGCGTATTGCTCTAATGATTGTTCCTAGTCTACTTGGTAAGCACTGCGGATTAATCACAATTGCCCTGATGTAGCAGTGTGCTGAAGCTGACTTCTGTTGATATACTTGTCAACTTTTGTGATTTCTTGTAAGAGGTCAGGGACAACATTAGTTACCGACATAAGTTACAACTCATCGTCTGAAACTGGCCGACATTCTGTTTAGAGGGACGTAGTCACCAGTCTTACCAAGGCAAGACGAGATTGGTGGCGAACACGGTTCGTTTACAGAGAGTGGGTATCAGTCGCTGAATTTCAGAAGCCTCAGCAAACTGAATCACGTGAGCGGTACTCCATCGGATGATTCTTTTGAATGATTCACGCGGGTTTTCATACATGGGACAGTCAAATATGTGCCGGACGATCGAGTTGGCGGACAGTCTTGGAGCATTCGCGATCGGGTTGCGCCAAGTATGCTTTGAACTTATTGTGAACAAACTCCCCTCAGTCCGGCCCTTGTACTCCGACCGCCATCGAATCACCAGTAAGGTTGCAATTTGACCGACTCTGCTTGTAACCTTACCATTCCAAGAACACTAAGTTGACGGCTCATGAGAATACATGAACTAATTGACTGCTGACTTTCCCATGGAAATGTTGCTATTTTTGCCAATTTGACGTTTGTAAATGAAAAGTCTTGTGTTGAACATTTGCCTAACTGTTGTATAAACGCGGTTAAGTCTAGGTTTGGCACCGATAAACCCTATGTGACATCGAATTAATTCCACATTGTCCCTGTATACTTTATTTAGTATGATTGTGCAATCGCCATGCAGCACTGCGCTGGTGAAGCAGTTCTTGTGCGAGAGAGTGCCGGGTGTCTCCTTTGTTCGGTCATTCAACGATCAAATCACCTTCTTCATTCAAGCGAATATGGTCGCACAAGTGAGCCGGTTGCTATTCTCGGCTGAAGGACAAAAGGAATTGCAGGCATGTTGCGTTTGCAGCTTCGGATTCAGTGTGACTAGTTTGGAAGAAATCTTCCTAAAGCTTAGTAAGTATGGCCACGGTAATCCACTGAATTTTCTATCTGCATGATTTCTCCCCATGGAGTATCATTTTGGTTTACGAACGAATGACCGACGAGCTGTCACTCCCCTCTGATTTTCATCTGGTGTTAAACTACTATTTTCAGAAAACTAAGTAAATAACCCCTATCCTTGCGTTTCAGGGAGCACAGCTTTACATGCATGAGCAGTTAGTCGCAACATTGTCAGTGCACAGTTCACATAGCGATAGAGGAGTAGTAATAAACCGGCCAGCTAAAACACTAATTAAAAGGATACTGTGGGAGTGTTCTGATTACAGAGGTTCGCTGAAGTTAGGTTTGCATAAAAATAAATCCATCCGATCATACCTTGATATGCTAAGTTCGGAATCGAAACAGGATTAAACTCCAACCAAGCTAGTCTCGACTCGTAGTAAGACCACCCGAATTGGAGTTCGAATTTCGCGGGTATTTATTCTAAGGCAATTGATGAAAAAGAACAACAATACACCATATTGAGTACAACTCCAGGTTTCTGTAATTCGGTTGGGATTTCTGTTACAATCTGGCGGATCTTCTTGAAGGCTGACTCTGCTTCGAATTTTAGAGCTTCATGATCTGTCACAATTCTACACCTAAGAGCAATAAAATACTTGAGAAGTCTGGTAACTGCCCAGTGTACAGCCAAAGCTTCTCGATGGGTCTGAGTGTGGCACTTTTCAGCATTGCTGAGTCTACGAGAGATACACAGAACACGGTGCCTGTCTTGCTCTATCAGCACCTATACCGGTTGGTGCGGCATCAGTGAAAAGCACGGTTGGTAGTTTTGGAGAGAAGGTAAGAAGAACAAAACCAGATGTAAGTAGTTTTAAAAGTCTTCGAACAGCATGATCACGTTTGTCTAGCCAAATATCACTCTTGTCATTAAACAAGGTGAATACAGGGTCAGCAATGAATGCAAAATTAGGAATGAAGTAGGAATACTACTGTATGGCTCCCATCAGTGATCGAACTTCCTGAACATCGGTGGGCGACTTTACACCATACAATGGCTTTATCTGCTCAGGATCTGGGTTGAGTCCCTCAGATATAACATGAAAACCAACACAACGGATTTTTTGGATACAAATCAAGCAATTCTATTCGGCTGATATTCACAGCAGTTTCTATGAAGCGAGTTAAATGTGCAAACAATCAAGAATCATGAAGGTGTTTGTCAGCAGCACGCACAAACACATCGCCTTCATAGATCACAACCTTCCGGATCTTGTGTAATGTAGTTAAGCCCAACTTGGACAATAGCTGGTGACACACACACACACACACACACCAATTAGGCACTTCTTTGGGTTGATGTTCCCATTAGCATTCTTGAGGCAAGTTAAAAGTGTACGCAGTCGTGAACCATCGGCAGCATGCGCAAACACGTCGTCTTGCTAGACCACAACGCCATCCAGGCCTTGTACAATGGTGTTCATCACGTCGTGGAATATAGCTGGCGACACATTAAGACCGAAGGGAAGAAATCTTTGCCGGTACAATCCAAATGGTTTGTTGATGGTGGTCAGTTCACTAAAATCATCAGTGAGTGGTATCTGCAAATATACATCTTTTAAGTCTAGCTTCGGGAAAATATTGCATCCATTCAGAGGAGAGAGAATAGAATCAGGTTCTTCTGTGTCACAGCTAGGCTGCAGTAGCTGCGTATTATGCATAATATGGTAATCGCCGCAAACACTCGGTGTTTGTCCATCCGGTTTTAACGGTGTGACAATAGGCGTGTCTCATCGTGAACTTTTTAAGGGAACAATAATCCCTGCTTCACAGAGACACAATTACCATACGAACAGCTTCCTTCAGTCCAAATGGAAGTATACGACGTTTAAAGAAAATAGGATCACCGGCTACTTTCACATTAAAAGGCGGAATTTTCATTCCACCAGATGTCACTGAACAATCGTGTAGTAAACCATGAATTTGCGTGTCAGTATCAATGTGTGACAGAAAAGTGACATTTATTTTAAGTGCCTGCATAACTTTAAAACTGGGGTTGGACGGGCCTTGACAAATGTCAACAAATTTACACTCGAGAAGTTTAGACTGCTTATCTAACACTGGTATAACACCCTATCACCGGAAGCCGATGTCCAGTAATACCTTTAATAGTGATGGATGTAGAAGCAAGCAGAACATCAGAGTATAAATGAGTGAGACGCGTTTTAGAAATGAGACTCCACACTGACAGTATCAAGAATGAAACAGGGTGACGTACCATTTTCGAAACGTAAACTATTGAATAAGTGACCAGTTGCGTTCACAGCCAGTGTTAACGAACGGAAATCCTTAAGCGAATTCACGGTGGCATCCTCAACTTGTTTCACTATATTACAAAGCTTGAGTTGACAGCAAAGATTGAGGATCATTGGATCATTGGATGATAGAGAGCAGAAGGAAGGTCCTTTGTCAAATCCGTCACTTCCCGATCGTTGCCGAGATAGCCTGGGTCATTGCGGAACAAGATCCCACACAGGACCACTGAAGCTGCATTGGTAACTGCTGTATCCCCGCAAAATAAAATGAGAATCCAACAAATGCTTGAAACATTTCTCGGTCTCGGTACCGGCGATGGACTCCCGAAGACGGTTCCATTCATGACGGTTTGAACAATTTCAAACTGTGGCCTCTTGTCAAACTCTGTGTTGAGACGAAAAAATTCCTGCAATCCCCTCCCCAACTCACCTCTAGGGATACGTTAGGTGAAGATCAATTCTCCGCAATGACGACGGTTATCCAGGGAAAAGAGGTTCAGTTCTATGAGTCGGAGAGAATAGAACAGGTCCCGTAGCCCAGGGACGGATTTGGATGCACGCTGTTGAACTTCCTCAATTATATCACATTCGAATTTCTAAGAGGGTTGGCAGCAGGTATCCCGTATTCGGGAAGTGGGCGTACATGTGAAGTAAACAGGAGTCGGAAGAGCCCCGGGGTCATGAGAGAGAAGGCTGTACGTACAGAGTGAAACATCCTGTAGGCCGCAGCGACCTTTTTCTTGGTATCTTGATTAGATTCGAGGTAAGGCAAAAGTATCACTCCCGGATCCCTCTCCTGAGTAGCGTTTCTAAGCAAGGAACCACCAATATGCTCGGTTCCAAATGGGTCAGACGCACGAATTGGAGGAATCAAACATTTCTCACGATTCATTGGCAACTGCCACATAATTGACCAATCATGTAGCAGGGCGAGTGTTGATTGTAACCTGTCAGCATCTTTCACACTGGATACCTCCAAGCACAGCTTCAGGTCGTCGGCGTTAATTGGGCAACCCGCCTGGAGTGCGGACGGTAAGTCATTGATGAAGTCATTGTAATGCACGGGGCCGAGGACAGAACCCTGTGGAACTCCACTAGTCATGAGAACAGGGGCGAAAGATGTTTCGTTTACTTACACCTACATCGTACGGTCGCGAAGGAAGTCAGAGATACAAGAAAGTAGATTCCCGGCGATAACGATTCCTCGGAGTTTAAGCAGAAGTCGTTCGTGCGGGACCCTGTCGAAAGATTTGCTGAAATCAACAAACACTACGTCCAGGCGTTTACCGGAATCTAGCGACTTCACCCATTTCTCCTTGACAACCAGTAAGTTCGAGGTACATGAGCGTGCCCTTCAAAAACCACGCTGTGTAAAAAAGAAGACATTCAGTTCCTCAAGGAAGAGACGAAATCCTGCTCCAAGATCCGCTCCATAAATTTACACACGATCGATGTTAATCAGATTAGACGATAGCTGGCTGGATCTTGCCTGTTTCCTTCTTTGTACATGGGTTTGACAATGCTCACTTTCCAAGCCAACGGGAGACGCCCAGCTTTAAAGGAACGACGATAGGTGGGGCGATGTGCACCGCCACAGTCCTAAGGAACCGGGGCTGCAACTCATCCAGGCTGGGTGCAGAAGGCGGATCTAAATCAAGGAGAAGTTTAACCACAGTACTGATGTTAATGTCTAGTTGATCCAACTGATAAAGAATATTGGACACAGTGTTGTAGCAGGAGAAAATTTCTTTCGCGAAAACAGGGGCTTACTGTTGGACAAAGAGACTGGCTTTATCAGCGTCTTCATGAAGCAAATTTCGTTGCTCACAGGAACACAAGATAGGGATGCCACTGCCGGCCTTGGTGTTTCTTTTCAGATAAGAGAAGAGCATTTTGGGTGTCATTCTGGAGTGTACTGCTAATGATAGTTTATATTGTTGACGTTTTTGATGCTTCAGCGTGACACGAAACTTCCTGATATTCCTGTAGGAAGGGCAATCGGACTCTGTTTGAGATTGCCTGAAACAGTCCCACAATGTGCGCGTTCTGTTCATCAGGGATATCAATTCACTGTCAATCTAAGGTGGACTTCACTTGAAGGACTTTGTAAGGAAGAAAAATACGAGCTGCTCAATTAGGTACGTCATTTTGGAGAGCACAATGTTCCACGCATAGTCAAAAGGAATGGGATCAGGAATACTCCAGTCCATGCACAACAAATTGTGTTGTAACAAAGTGTGTGTGTGTTGTTGTTCCACAATAATATGGGATGGGGTACAATCATAAAACAACTCCGTCTCATGGCAGGGGGTACGATATAAAAAAAAAATAAAAATTTTTATACTTATACAAAATATCCCAAAAAATACCTACAGTATCAAAAAAAATCCAAGGGAGTCCACTCATGATTTAATATTTGGGGGGGGGGGGGGGGGGGGGGGGGGGGGGGGGGGGTGTAAATAGAGGGGGGGAAGAAGTAGAGTTATGGTGTGGGATTAAGATAGTTAATTAGGGGGGGGGGGGGGTCAACGACCACCACACATTACTATACCAAACCCA